AATTACAAACTTGTTAGTCTGACCTCAACAGTTTGAAAGGTTTTAGACTAGGTTCTGAAGAAAATAATAATTAAAGACAGAGACACAAACGGAAAAGGGATCAATCACAGCATGGGAAATTTTACTTAAGTTGGCTGATATTATTTTTGTGATTTTCTGGGCAAAGGAACTGCACTACATTTAACCTGAACCTCAGCATACTTCAGTGGAGTGCCACACAAGATAATTCCAACAATGTGGAGATTAATCCAAGAACCTAAGGTTCAAAAGAACTGGCTACAGAAGGAGCAAAGCTGGACTGTATTAGAATGGGAACTATGGGATTGAAGGGAAGTTTCTAATAATGCTTCTGAATGACTGATTTGGGGAATGACCTAATTTGATACTTTAGGTAACTGTTTATGCACACTAAATAGCATGCTGATGCGTTCTGACAACAAATGTAAGGAGGCAGACAGATGGATTCCTTTCAGGACATATAGGTAACAGTAAACCATCAAGTTTAAAACATAAAATACAATTTCTTGCATAGTGGAAATTAATACCAAAATGCATAATCAGCTGAAAACAGAAGACTGGATGTACAGGTCAACTATCAGACCACTACAATATGTCAAACGTGACAGATTTGCTTTATTCACAGCTGCTAAGGTATATGAGGTGAGATATATCAAGCAGAAGTAGGGAAGTACCCTACAAAATAGTATTCATACTGGTGAGATCTCATTTGGAACAAGAAATACAAATCTAAAAATATTTTCAGTAAGAACAAATTCAAATTGAATCAAAGGCAGAGAAGGATTATGAGGATTACTGGTAACTATTTCATGAGACGAAACTGAGACTATGGATTGTTTCGTCAAGCAAAACAAAGCTAAAGGGGAATACAACTGTTTTCCATTAAGCACTGGTGGTGTTCTGCAGCAAATACTAAGGACAAAGCTGTTAAAAGAACAGGTATTACCTGATCTGAGTAAAGTTAGGTGGGAATTCCCACCATATTCCCATGAATATTCCACTATATTCCTACTAAGACTCTGGAATAATTTTCCCCAACAAGACCAGTGTGGATAAAAGGTTGCGATTTCAAGAGAGAACCCTGATTATGTTTTTAAAACGCATTATCTAATACAATTTCTCACGATAATAGAGGGTTAGACTCAGTGACACAACAGGTCATTTCCAGCTCTGTGCTCCTAAACAATTTTCTTAATAGCAGATACATTTTACCTGGAATTACCTGTTCAGTCTACAAAACGGAAGCGAACAGAAATGGACTACTGGCAAAACCTTAAAAGAAAGTCACACAACTTCTCACATAGTTAAAAAAAGTTGAAATGATCAAATTTTGACTGCTACAGGTGCCAAATTTGAGCTGTCCCCTCCTAAGGCTGCACTGATATGGCAATAAATCAATATAATCTAGAGTGCCAGTACTATGCTTCATGCACACATAGGTAGATGAGTACCTTTTATTTTCACCTGATATAGCAAGGTTCAGCCTATAAGCATTTGCCACATACACGTTTTTCAGCTGTTAGAGCCTCAACATCTGTTGAAACTAGCTACCCCCCTTTCCTGGAAAAGGTGGCAAGCCAGGTGAAAGTATCCTAAAGCAGTACCTGATCAACACCTGGATCACACTTAACAACACTGCAAGAAGTATTTGCTTTTTGGCTTTAACAACAAAACACAAACCATCCAAAGGCATTATCTAACAGACTGATATTGAGAACATTTAGTCACTTGTAAGCTACTTTCAGAAGATCAAAAATAATTCCTAATCGCAGCGTTGCCGCTTCTTCTAAGAAACTGCTTTCAGTACATTTGACTTATTCCTTTAAAAAAAAAAAAAGCCAAAAAAGCTTCCATCTACAATGACAACTCCTAATTCTACTAGAATTTCTTTTTAAAAAGCACAAGAACTCAACAGAATCTAGATTCTCAAGATCAGCCTAAATTAACATTTTTAGCAGCATAGCTGCTACTACCAAGGCAGAGAGATATGTATATACACCATGGTTAACATACCTATGTCAACAAAAGTGCTCGTATATATGTCACATTGTCAGCAGAAGTGTTCCAATCTACTTAGCCTCTACTATTTAGGAAGGAGAAATTATGCCAGCAGAAAAAAAAAAAAATTCCCCCAATGTTTTATCTCCGCTAGGATGTGCTGTCAACATGCTGTCTAGTGAGTAAAGGCGTATTTCACTATTTGGTTTGACTCCTAGAATCAGTTCTGCAGCTTCCATGACAGCTGGGCATGACTTCAGTCATCTTCTATTAACACTAACAATATTAAAAAGATACAAACTCCTGGCCATTACTATATTTACTTGGCCATTATAAACTAAAAATGCTACCACAAAAATGGCTAGAGACAGAAAAAGGATGTTACTGAACTTAGTTCACGCCTACTTTAAAAATGCCACCACAAAAATGGCTAGAGACAGAAAAAGGATGTTACTGAACTTAGTTCACGCCTACTTTAAAAGATGAACTCATTTATAGCTACTCTTTGGAAACACAATCTGATTGCCATTTCCTGATGCCCTGCCTCCGAGTGAAGCTCACTGAGGGGGAACTGCCAAAACAATGCATTGATAAAGAAACAGTTTTAGCTAGGACATTTCAGTAGACAATAAGTTAAATTCTTTTACATAAATTATTTGTAATTATAAGATATTAACCTATGCATGACAAACCTTGCCAATATGGAAAGCTGCACATGAATGAACCCAGTTTTTAAAGATTAAGATATCTTATGATTTCATACAAATAATACTTCAGCCAGAGCATTTTATGAAATCAATGTATTTTGAAGTGCCAGGCATATTAGCAAAGCCAGTAAACAGTTTAAGAAAAAAAAAATCAAAACCCAAACTCACTAATGGAGTATCTAACAGCTACATGATGAGCTCTAAAAGTGAAATATCCAAGCTTGACTTCGACACTTAAATTCCTCCAGAAAGAACAGTGATCCCTAGGAAAATGACATGCTGCAATTTACTTCTCAGACTTCAGCTCTTCTCATCCTCATCACTGAAAGAGGTGGCATACAATGAGGATTCACAATCTGAACTTCTTTGTAGATTTTGTAAATCTGAGTGGTATCTCCAGGTAAAGACAACTGGATCAGCAATTTCTACAAAAACATGGCTAAAAACTGTATCCATCTTTTGGAAAATAACCCAATTAGAGTATTTATGTGGTTAAGCAAGAAACCTGGGCTCAAGCCCCTTTCTCAGCCTAAGGGGATTCAAATTCTCAGCTTTTTTCTAACGTGGTGTCCGAATCAATAAATATTAGGCTGGGACAAGAAGGCTGCTTGAATGGATTCATTGTACAGTCAGAAGTGTAGAATCAGACACAGAAAATGCAGTTTTACAATAGGGTGCAAAATCAGACAATAATTCCCTGATGTTATAGATCATGAATACAGCTTAAAACTGCTGGACTCAATGCTGTGCTGTCTGTTGCATTTGCTCCAAGTCTTTTCTGGGCCAGATCTCTCAAAGAACTTATATACACAGACTTTCTTTATTCCGATGACCCCATACGGTCTTGTGTGAAAGAGATACCAAGCTGCTTCTATCAGCCAAGATGGAGAAATGAAATCTGGATGCTTATACAACTTTGTGACTATGTGGCTGCTTTATCCAGGACTTGAAGACCTCAAACACCAGATTTTTTTTTTGTTATTTTAAAGTTAGACCAGTACAGATTCCTGTATCAAATTACAGCTGTTCACTAAATAAACTCAACACCATGATGGAAGCATACAAAACACTATTTAAACCAAACTAAAACCCCATCATCAGATCAAGGAGATCTGCAATAGTTGATTTCTTCATGAAGTACTTGGGAGCTCTCTCAAACACACCTAACCAAAACTAGACAACGACAAGCTATCTTCAGATCTACTGCAAGCCCTTCTTTCATTACAGTCCCCATCTCCAGTTTGGGAGAAAGGAAGCAGCAGCCAAACACTGATTATGGATGGCCGCTGCTAATTTGCTTTTTCTTTATATTGGATCAGTCTGGGTTATTCCCAGAGAGATTAATAAATGTTTACGAGTGATTCCTTGATTCCCAGAGAGATTAAGGGATGCTTGCAAGTTCCTTGATTCTTTACAAAACAAGCCCAGAAAAGAGTATACCATGGGGAAGAAAACACGTCATTCAACAGTTATGCACAGACACATACACCCATCAAAATTTAGTATTTGCACTCAGTGTTCTTGCTTGCAGAAAAGAATCAGAAGAGATTTCCCCATGGAAAGAGAGTGTAAAGACTGTAAAAACCAAGGAATTCTGAGGAGGCACAGAGTTGTAAGCCTTTACAGTTTTCATTTATTCAGATATCCTGTAGCTGAAGATGAAAGAACCAGTGAGCAAAAGGGAAATCAGTTTTCTCATTATTAGAACACAATAAAAAGCTATGTGAAAACTTCTGTCTTATTTTTGGTTCTCATTGTCTCTACTTAACAATTAAATAGTTCAACAATAAAATGTAAGGCAGAGAAAAGTAACTATGAGACTTTAAAAAAATTTTTCTAAATAAAGTATTTCAGATTTAAAGGTATCGGAGCGTGTTGAGGAACTAGAAACCCAGTCTTCCATGGCATTCAGTACCACTGTTCCAGCGACCAGGAAGCCAACGTGAACTATCTAATAAACGAGGTATTAACATCATAATGATTACAACCTGGTATTTGCTATCATATCTTGCACACTGATTTTCTTTTCTGTCTCAATTTGTTGTCCATTACCACCAATATTTTAAACACAGATTATAAGACTTCATAAAAAAGCGTCTCCTACATGCAAGTATTTCAGAAGCATAATGTAGTATAATGTACACCAGTATGGTTTTTTGGGTTTTGTTTTTTTTTTTAAAAAGAAACTATATTGAAAGCTTAGAAGCCCTATCAAATTGACATCTATGCAGCAAAGTAGTGGTTAAGAGTCCCATTTAATCTTTTAAGTTAATTTACCTGTTGATCAGTTGATGTACGTTGCTGAACTGCATCATGGCTCACAGAGCCTTTTTTGACTTGTATCCTGCCAGGTGGAGGAGGAATTACACCTGAATATGAAGCTGGATTATCAGCATCTGAAGAATACAAGGCTGTGTGTCTTGATTCTTGTTCATTCTTTGACACAACAAATCTGGGAAGAGGGAGGTCCTTTACTGTTAAAAAAAAAAAAGAGAGCAGGCCATTTACTATACAGAAGTATGATGCTTAAAAATAAAAATGCACTTCTATTTTGTAGTTAAAATTTCACACGTGCCTCAATTACTTAAACACTGAGACTGCCACTACAGTCAAGCCAACATATGCCAGTTGGAAAAAAGCAAATACCCCTTCTGCATTATATTTCACGATTCTGCTACCCAAGTTCTGGTTTTGGTATACAAAGAGGACTTCACATAGCTCCATAACAGTTTTACAGAATCACAGAATAGTTTGGGTTAGAAGGGACCTCTAAAGGTCATTTCGCACTAGAACTCTGCATTAAATGCAGTAGCAATCAGATAATCTGGATTTAGCTCATTTTTTCTTAGTTTTGCCAACATTTAATTATTGAAGTGTGATTTTCAAAATTTATCTACCATTTCTAGCACATATATAAAATTAGAGAGTCTACATACAGAATGGTTCATCAGCAAAACAAATGCTAAAATACTGCAGTATATTCAACATCACCTTTTAGTGAGCTGATGTCATGTTTATATTTACAACAGATAATATAATCTAGTCTTATTGCAAAAACTGCAACTATTGCTTAAACACATCTGTGTATACATTTCTACAATAGAAGCTAAATTAGCTGTTTTACTGGGTACAACTGGGAACATTCCAATATCGCCTCACTTTGTTACAAACACCTATAAAGCAAAGTTTCTACAAAATGCTGAGGTCCTTAGCTTTATGTACCACAGTTCAGAGTAGTCCGATACAAAAATGAGGCTACATAAGTCTTTATTTTTTCTCTGCAAGATTTCTACCATTTTTCTTACTCACAACCACTCCTTTCTTACTGGTCCACTGTGAATAAAAAACTGTGAATTTGCAATACACCTCCCTTGCAAATTATTTTTCCAACACAACACAAATTTACAAGCACGGCTCAAATTTAATTTCTCTTGTTGACTGCTTACATTGATTACTTTCGGTATTGAAAATGAGTCGGTAGTACTAACAACCGTATTAAAGTATGAGATGAAATTGCATACATTTTATTACATAATACATTTTTTGTTTATATTTTATGTTTATTACATAAACATTAAACTGATTTGTATTTGAAGAGTGTCATTTGAATCTATATTATTCAACAACTATACACACCTTTATGTAACCATCCAGTATTAAAGAATAATGCCTCAGTAAGAACATAAATTCTTGATTTAAGCCTCTGTCACTAAGCACAACTCCATGTGCCAAACAGCTTTCATCGGAGGGAAGGATCATGCAGCACAGCCTCTTTGCTAAATTTGTGGTTACCCATCACATGGAAACACTGTTAAAGCAATTCCTGATGCCTTCCTCATTCCTAGATGCCCATTTTCACATTAGCATTGTACCCCATGTTGCACTAGGAAGGTTATTCACGTAGCTAAACAGTGAACAACAGCCAGCCAAAAAGTGAAAAAGGCACTGCATACAAGTGAAAATTTGTATGCTTGCAAAACAGGATAATACAGACGCTAGAACATCCAACTGACACAGGGGAAGTCTATGCAATCGGTTGCTCCAACATGAGGCTTTGGCATGAGATATCTAGCACTATTTCACAAAATAATATAGAGGGCTCAGAAGGAACACAAAATACTCTATTGCCTTCTTTAAAAACAAGACTAGATAAATATAGGTTTGTTTTGCTGTACTAAGTTTCTACATGGCCATTTGAAATCTGCCATTTTTACCTCTCTCCTCTCTGTCTTTTCCCTGTAACAGCAGAAAAAAAACTTATTTTAACACTACAACATTTGTTACCATTCAGAAATCCCTCAATTATAAATGCAATAGCTGTTATGAATAGAATTAAATCTTGATATTGACTAAATCAGAAAGTTCTCTGTTCTTTTTATGCCCTCATCCTTGTTAATATTTTCTTCCACCAAAAACTGTATTCCATACTTAGAAACTGCTTATTAATTTCTCAATTTTTAGCTTCCGGGAAGCAAAATTTTCTGGGACAGCAAAGGAACAACAGATTTAGAGGCTTGTAGTATAATAACTAAAGCCAGTATTTTTACTACACTGCACATCTGAGTAACCAAAAAAGCACTTATTTAACTAAGAATCAACTGGATGACACTTGTGTTGGATGGACTTAGTACTCAAAATTTGACTGTAATCTCCACTGAGCAACTCACATAAAGCAAGCTTCCTGTCTACTTAAGAGACACAGTGAACCAAAGAGCAAAAGAAACAAGAAGAGAAGGGGAGAGAAAATACCAAGACAAAAGAGCGCATAACATTAAGACAATCATTGAATAAAACATACATAGAATGCAGAGCTAAAAAGTAGATGTCCTAAAATATAAACTTTTAACTAATTGTAAATGTTTTACTTTGAAGAGAGAAAGAGTATACGGTTTAGTTTGGGATGGCTCTAACAGTTCCTCTTCAAGACCTCTTGGAGATGGACTGTGGGCAGAAGCCAGCTGGCCAGGCTGCTGAACCCCAGTTTTCAAAGGAAGGTAACCCAAGCTCAGAATCATTTTATGAGTCTTCAGCCTGCTGTATTTTAGCTGTTTAGTAGCTGCTACAACAACACTTGAATCATCCTAGGAGCAGGAACTTCATAGACAGGACTGGAACCACTGCAACCAAGGCAACAGACAACCAAAGCTAAAAACAGTTAGGGTAAAAATAAATGTTCTGTCAATTGTACTTGTTGTATTTAGTAGGTTTGGAAGCAGTTACAGAAACTTATTCCTAGAAGTCTAGAAACCATTACAAGTATTTCTAGTATCGTCATGAAACAAGGAAATGTATTCCATTATAAAAGTTCCAATGGCCGCTAATTTTACAGCAATATATTTTATATTTTGGAATTAATTCTGTACCTTCATTTCAATTCCCTCCTTCAAATTTCTTCCGATTTTTTTTTTAGCAGGAAAGCTCCCTCCAGTTAAGGTATCTTGCATTAAAATAAAACCAAGCATATAAAAGCCCTGGAAAAAGCTACATACACAGATTTAATCTTTGCCTTCTTCAATGGGTATTTGATGAGAAATCCCACAATTGTTATATCAAGTCCCAGTTCTATCAGATATTAAGAGTCGAAGGTCCCTTTTCCCTTCTGATTCTAGGGCATTCCACTACAACTTGCTGAAGCTTTAGATTTGGGAACACTCATCGGGAAAACTAGGGAAACGGTTTATAAACATAGGGTGGCTTATCAGCAGAAAGGAACTTGAATACTAGCAAAACGTTGACTGAAACCATGCACTTTTCCAAAAAGCTACAAAAAACCATGAAAGCAGTATATACCGTTTGTACAAGCCTAGAATAAACGTAACTGTAAAAGTATACACGATGATTCCTTTCTTTTTTATAGCTTTGTCAAATACTTCAGTCCGATCAGATTGTTTTTAACATAGTCTCCTTAACTACTCTGTTTAAGCTATATCCTTTAGACACAAAAAACTCCTAAACTTTCTTGTAATTACTAGCATATATAAATGATATCGTAACATGTATTCTACAGACATAAAAATCTACTAGGGAAGTCATCTTAATGCAAAGCTGTGCTCCAAAGATACCTCTAAGTTGTGAGTTGTGTACTATGCTGCAAAGGGCTACAGTGGCTTAAAACTCACTACTGTGTCTTCCTAAGTCTCTCTTCATCTCACAGAGCAACATCGACATGTATCCACTTATGTCACTCAGAAGGCTACAGCAGAGCCTCATATCAAAGCTCTTTCTGCTGTTCTGAACCATCTTCTTAGCATGAGTCTTTCTCCTGTTCCTATTTCACTACCAACACCACAGCTGACCTTTGAAAAGCAGGATAACAGGTGTTTTGGCTGGTAACAGACTTCAAACATCTTTTACAGGTCAGGTTTTTCACTAGAAAAATCAAACCACTAATCTTCATACTTGTGCTAAGAAGGAAGAAAACTGTCAAACCAAGTGCGAAGGAATGTGACTTTAGAAAAGACGACCTTTCACTTGTTGCAATCAAGGCTTCATTAACTCAGCAACTACAAAAGCCTGCAAATGTTGCATTCTTTTCATTCCAATTCACATTAGTCCTATTAGTACTTTATTCAGAGGATATATCACACAAGTTCTCACATTCGTAATCTATAGAATGAACTTGTACCTACACAACAGTCAGTAGTAGTTGTTCATTTACCCCATGATGAACACAGTATTTATTCAATAAGAGCAAGGTATTTCACCACATTTATTGCATAGTAAGAATACACTCCCTCATAGTCTCTCCACAATTTTTTTAAGTTAGCAACATGTATAGAAAGACACACCACACTAATTTACAAGGTTACTCTACAACAATCTGTGAGCCAAGTACAATAATTCTGCTTAGCAACTCAATTTCCCCCCCATCCTGTGATTTACCTGTATTTAAGCTTTCCACTCTTAGAGGGAGACCAGATTGGGCCACAGCAACAAGTTTCAAAGCAATGTAAAATTGACTTCTTCCAAAATAGCCGAGTCTTGTTGCACCACAGAGCTCCATAATCTGAAACAAAACACAGTTACTTGTACAAAGAAACTTAAAACACAAACTGCTCTACAGAGGCAATTTCATACATTTAAGAGCAGCATGCCTTGCATTAAATGCTCTTAACAACTTCCTATATACTGTATTTCAGTAACAACTTCACATGCAATCTCTAAATATTAAGTGACATGAGTCAGAGTATGCGATTCCTCACAACCAGCAAAAGCACCAAGTCTAAAACTTAAGTTTTTCCCAGTTATCCACCTTTTCTTTCACCTAGGCTTTAGAGGTTCTACAGAGTTGATACGAGATAGAGTAAGAGAGCATAACTGGGGTCATGTTCCTTTTTAAAACAAACAAAAAACCGCCCAAAAACCATCAAGAAAGCACATAATAAACATCCTATGTCACTATTAGCTATTCCATTAGCAGCTATATTGTCTATCTGCCTTTAGTAACTGCAACAGAAAAGGAATAGCATTCAACATTTTTAGTATTATGTTGTCAGATGTAATCCAGAAACACAAAATGAAGATTTTCAAATAATTCTCAAAATTGAGCAGTGTGTTACTGATCAAGTTAGAGAAATAGCCTGCCCCTAAATTTCTCCCTGAAGAATTTCAATGACGAGGTTAGAATTTATAAAAAGTGAAAAAGCTAGACAATTGCAAATGACACCTTCCAGCCTTTTCTGATATAGGCTTGCTATAGTTCAACTTTTAACATACAAAACAAACCTCTGAAGTATTCATTCAGAACACATAGAAGTATCTACACATATGCATGGATTTCAGCATTGGAGGAGAATGCAGAACTTCAGGTTCTCCAAACAATGCCACAGATGCTGTTTCATTTAAGAAATACAACAAAGAATTGGTGTTATTTTATTCCCTTTTCTTCCCCTGGTGTTCTATATGACGGAAAGGTGGTTTTGTCTTTTATTATGAATTTTGAGAAATTTTGGTTCCTCCAGACAGCAGCCATGTATTCAAACATACTGACTGCACACCCCTCCACATCGAAGACCTGCAAACTTGCTAAGGGTGCAGTCCTGCTTGTGCCAGGTCACTGATAAGATACTAAGCATGACACACCCCAAATCAGACTCTCCGACTGTCAATCAGACTGTCTTTTTATCTACCTACCAGTCTCATCTAGGCTGTAATGTTCCAAATGAGACACAAAGATGCTCTCGGACACCATTGTGAAAGCCTTGTTGACGTCAAGGTAGATGACATCACTGCTTTTCTTTCCTCAACCACAGTTCAAGTTTTTCCATCACAGCAGACAATCTGGCTGACAAGTACCCTTGGTAAATCCATGCTTGCTAATCCTAATTACTGTTTTCACCTTCATATGCCTAGAAATGGCTTCCAAGCAGACTTGCTCCACAATTTCTCAGGGACCAAAGTACAGCTGACCAGCCTGCAGTTCCCCAAATCAACCTTCCTGCCCTTCCTGAAGACAGCTGCAACACGTGTTTCTCCAGTCATTGAGGCCCACCGCTGATCTCCACAACTATTCAAAGAGAAAGCTGACTTGCAATGAACATTAGCTAGCACTCTCAGCACCCTCAGAAGCATCCTATCTAATCCCATGAACTTGATATTTCTCAAGAGATCCATCAATAATCTGTACTACTACTAGTTTCTCTCCTCCTTCAATCCCACCTCCAGGCACAAAGGCCCGTAAGACCTTGTCTGTGAAGATCAGTGCAGAGAAGGCACTGAGAATCTCAGCCTCATCTACATCCATGGGTGCCAATTTCTCTCTTCACCCTTCCCACCAGAGCTCAGTCGTAAGTTCCCTGTTTGGCAAATCTGGTCTCTTGACACATCTGCTCATTTACCTAACTCCTGGGATGGACTGTTACTGGGCTTAGAGAAAGCTGTCCTGAAAGGATGAGGAGCCCTGCTTGCAGGCAAGTTCCAACTGAAAAAGTCAACTACCTTTTCACATAGCAGCAACTGAACCACATGATCCATGAGGAGTTAGTCTGTATGCTTCAGCACTGCTGAAACAGAAAATTGTCTGATTTACAGAGTTACCAAAGTCTAACAGATGGGTTTATTAACTACAGCTGAGCTAGATATGGCTCAACAAAGAGCTGCTTGGGTATTTTCCTACCATGCACCAGGATTCTAGGACCTCATGAAAATAAGCTGTTGTAAAACCTGTCACAGGAAGGTGTGACAAGTTGACAAACACTTAGTCCCAAAGTCATCCCAAGAGGATCAGCAGGTCTAGGGCTGTGCATGCAGCTCAAATCCTGCTGGACAGAAGCTAGCTACATTAAATCACTTGGCTATGTCTGCATTGCACTTCCCACATTGTCCTACAGTACCTGTGTTATTTGTATTTTCCCATTACAGTGTTTCTGTAACATGATGTCTGGACAGAAGTCAGGGCATTTTCTAAAGTTCAATAACTAAAAGAAAATAATTCTTGAATACAATACGAGTTTCAATAGGTTGGTTGGACTACAAAAAGTGCCACGAGGAAAGAAGTGAGTCTAAATTGACAGGTGACAATTCAAACAATAAAAACTCTGAGGCATCAACATCTAAAATAAATTGCCTGTACCCAACCTAATGCCAAAAATAATTACACTAAGTTTAAATAACTGGCAGAACAAAAGCAGTGGAGATTCAAGAAACAGCTAGCAATCAAAACCAGTGCTACAGCAAGAGCAATTCCTTTTTTTAAAGCACTATATCCTGGAAGACTGATTAACATCCATGTACTTGACTACACCTAACACAGAAAAAGCTTGTGGATCCAGTGGCCTAGCACTGACAGATGAATAACTGAGCAGACTCTGGAAAAGCTTCTTATGAAAGGAAGCAATGATGCAGGCATTTGGAGCCTATGGAATCATTAGGCAGTAATGGCTTTGAGCAATTTCAAAGCCAGTGCTGGACTAGAAATTACCTTGTTTGGAGCTAGTCAGTACTGCCACACTGAAAAAACCTTCAGTTAAAAACTGAATTAATAATTAAGCTACCATGGCAGATAAGTATTAGAAAGGAAAGACAAGCGTGGATTCAAAGTAAATAGGTATAAATGTAGAAAATCCGCCAGACGTAAGTATCAAGAAAAGGAAAAAAAACTAAGGTACAAAAAAAACCCCAACGAAAAAGAATGCCCTTATGCTGCTGAACAAGTAGCTGTCAAATCCACCCATAGCTAGCTAAAGGAGTCCTCTATTTCAAACACAGAATATAACCCAATCAGAAACATGACTGAAGGTTGAGTAAAATCATTAAATGCAAACATGTAGTGGAGACTCCTCTGCTGACTGACAGCATGCTTGAACATACACAAAGCAGCCTACCTATAATCTCCTTGAAGGAGGATTGAAACATTCAACAGGTAATAAGCTATACTGATGGGGCAGGGGGGGATAATAAAAAAAATAATCAAGGGATTGGTTCTCTGAGATTTATGTTTAGGGCTTTCATCTTCTTAGGAAGAGAGAGTATAAGGAATTTCCTTACACTCTTCAAGGAATGCAGAGCCATCTTCAAGACAAAATGCTCCATGACTGTTTTCATCTCCTTAGATATTAAGGTCCTGAGGTCACACTACTGCAGTTAACCAGATTAAGGCCAACAACTCTGTGAAGCTCCAGAATTGCTGGAAGCTGTTGATACAAAAGAACCTCAGTGCAGTAGCTGTAAATTATGAAATTGCACACTCAGTCATCATACTGCAAAGAAGTAACAGCAGCATCAACAGCATCAGGAGTTGGCACAGATAAGACATGCATAGGAAGCAGTATGTTGACAAAGGGCACCGTTTCAAACACATACCTTCCAGAACTCTTACAGGTTTCAAATAAGAGGTCCTTGAACTTGGAAAGGTTTGTGAACCAAAAAAAATAAGACCTGAGGACCTTTAAAAATTCCAGGTGAAGTGGAACCAATCACATCTCTATCAAATGTGGTGAAATGCACTTTCCAGAACTCAGAAAACCTCTCTGGGAGAGTATTCCAGAACGTCACAGTCCCCCTGCCCCCAGGTTCTTCCACAAGGCAAATCAAGCCCATTATCTGTAAACATTATTTATGCAAAAGTACAACAGTATTTAAGCAGGGATGACTTCAATAGTAAAACAACAAATGCAGTAACATGCATTCCACCTACATAGTAAAGATAAAAATATTTCATCTGCTTGGAGAGCATTACTGAAGTACCTACTGTTCCATACCAGAGGGTGGTAAGAGGCAAGACTTTAATGCAACTTTTGAAGGCTGGAAGTTACAACACACATCGTGTATGCTGACAGGAGAGGGGAGCGAACAAACTCAAAGGAGGACCTTTTGTATCACCTCATCTGAACTAGGACATTAACACAAGTCTATCCACTAAAAAAAAAAAAAAAATCACATTTTGATACGAAGCAAGAAAGAAGAACTGGGATTCAGAGTATACATTTTGGTCCTGATTTTATTAACACATTCTTAATTTGAGGTATTCTAGTAGTCCTACTGTGACCTGGCAGGAATTTTCATGTTTGTATTGTTGGTGTAAAACTTTTTTTTTTTAATTAAGAAACACAAAAGAAACCCTATGTAGGATCACAGAATAGTTGAGCTTGGAAAGGTCCTCTAGATATCATCCACTCCACTTCTGCTGCTCAAAGCAGGCTCAGCTACAGCAGGTTGCTTAGAACCGTGCCCAGTTGGATTTTGAGTATATCCAAGGAGGCAGACTCTAGAAACTCTCTGAGCAACCTCTTCCAGTGTTTGATCACCCTTACAGTAAGAAAGTTTTCTCTTATGTTTAAATGAAACAATCACCAGGAACAATATCATATAAACCATGGACCAGAGGTGCAAAACAAGTTTTCGCATTCATTTTACAATATTTGATACAAACTTGAGTTAAACCAGACCAAATGAATACTTGTGCTTCAGTATTTAGTACATGATTTTTCAGTTTTACTGTGCATATTGACAATAACCTTTTAATGAAAAGCAAGCAATACATTAAAAAAAGCTAATGGTTTACTTCAGATTAAA